GGAGTGATGGATGGATAGATGATTCATGGATGGATGGACAGGCTGATGGATGGATGGATGGAGGGATGGAGTTATGGGTGGATGGATGGACAGAGAGATGGATGGAGGGAGTGATGGATGGATCAATGTATGGCTGTACGAATGAACAGATGGATGGACTGATGGATGAATGGATTGAGGGATGGATGTATAGATACTGTAGATGGATGGATGAGGGATCAATGGACTAAGGGATGGATGGATGGATGGATGGATGGACAGATGGAGGGATGAACAAGTGAACTTGAACTGGACATAAATAATTATAAGATTGTATTAAGAACCCCCAAACTTACCTAATTTAATATTTAAAGTTATTTTTCATGTAAGTTAATGAATTTACTTTAATATGAATGTATTTCTTTGCAAAACTTCAAACCAGACTGTAACAGAAGCAACAAACGAAGTTTTCATGCAACTATTTTATTTCTCTCTTTATTTAAGGACACAATAAGTGCATATTATTAGTTGCCAATAATCCCACATCTGATCAGCACTTTTGGTTTTTGTGATATTGACATGAAAAAATGATTTCACACAATTATTCTTGTTATAAAATACTTTATTAGATGTGACTTAACAAAATAACTTTTGCTACATTGATTATTTCACTAAATATCACATTTTATACAGACATGCTTTTATCATTCAGAACACAAACGACACAGATAAGAAAGTAAATCTACAGTTCATACAACAAACACAGAACAAAACCACGGATTATAAATTCTGACATCCTGATGGAGGAAAGACAAACACGTTGACTGGACTTTTCTAAAACAGAACTCAGTTCTGACACAAGAAGGACCTGATCCAGTCAGAAACCGGTCCACGTTCAGCCTGGCCACGTTTCTTCAGATCACGCCACAAAGGCAAAAGGGCAATAATGTTTTCACTCCTGTCTGTGCATTTGCTTGTTTGTCTGTTAGCAAAATATCTCATGAACCACTGGATGAATTTTATTGAAACGTTCAGAACGTAAACAATGGATCTACAACTGATTAAGAGTTGGAGTTAATTCCATTCAGCATCCTCAGAAAACACCCAAATTACTCTCATCCAGTTTTAGTTATTGAGATCAAGTTTGGAGCAATAGACTTAATTTAAACTCAAAGTACTAATTGATCACATGAAGTTTCTCTATAAAACCTAAAAACTAAGAAACATTTGAAAATAACTTGTGAAATACTAGAGAAGACTTAAATGAAACTTTTATTTATTTTTTATTATTTAACCTTTATTTATCCAGGAAGTCTCATTGAGTCACGAGGACTAATTTTCAAGAGAGGCCTGTTTTTTTTTGGGGGGGGGGGGTTTGTGGGGGGGGGGGATGTGAGGTTGGGGGACTGCTCAGGGGTCCAGGGTGAGGCAAATGAGGGTGGAGGCAGGTGTGGGTGTTTCACTCTTTCACCCACATTTTGATGTTGGTCCAGGGAGTCGAGCCGGCGACTTTCCAATCACCGGCCCACCTTCTCTAACCTCTGCTCCACCATTCCCCCCTGGATGTACATCCACAACTGAATATGCTTTGGTGTATATTTAATCCAGAATGTCTGCCACAGCTCACTTGGCTGTAACTCAAGTTATTTTACAGACACTGAACTCAGAGTTGGCGTGGTAGTAGCTGAGAGTCGTTCACAACGTATCCTCTGAGAGCTAACACATCTCATGAGATCTTGTACGACTGCTGATGAAGTCATGTTCAAGATGTGACACTTCTGTCCGCTCCCATCATAAAATGATCTTAGTTTCAGTCTGTGGCCTGAAGGCGGCGAGTGATATGCATTCCTTTAAGAAACACTGCAGCTTCAGTTCTTCAAACCTTCTCGTGGATGTAAAAAGTGATAATGGTGGAGGGGGCCCACAAGTCTTCATCATGTAGCTCGACAACCCAGCTGGACCCGGCCTGACTCCAGGATTAAGGGTTTAGTGTGAACTCGTTATATTCTTCTATGTCCAGCTCCTGGTCTGAGTCATCTAACATGTCAGAGTCCGGGTCTGTGTGGGTCTGCTGCACGGTCAGAGTGTGGCCACTCTGCTCCACCTGGGAGGCCGGGCCAGTCTGTCTTTGTTCCAGGTTCTGAACCTCCACCCGCTCCGACGTGTTGTCTCCTTTACTGCTCCTCCCGACTGCACAGTCATCCTCCACCTCCTGCTTCACGCCGTGAGGATTCTCCTGACGTGCACAGAGAAAGCATGAAACCGTGACCAGAACAGCTCAACCGACTGTTCAACGCTGACCTGAGAGAGAAGCAGCTCACCTGTTTTAGCCTTCGCCACTTGGCTCGTCGATTCTGAAACCAAGTCTTTACCTAAAAGAACAACAAACAAACAAATCAACAACTCTGATAATTCCACTGTGACGTTTATAAAACCTGTGGGTCTCACCAAGGAGCCACTGTGAGTTTCCGTCTTGTGTCGGTGCTCAAAGTGGGCCGGTACTCACCGAGCACCAGGGCCGATTCTACAATCTGACCATTAGGGTGTTTGGCCCCCGGTACTGACAATGGCTCTTGGCTTGAACAACACACCTCATGGTGTGGTTGTTGAGAAGTACAAAAACTTACAGCACCTGGAATTAGACCAGGCGGTCTCCCATCCAAGTACTAACCAGACCCGACCCTGCTTCTCCTCCGAGACAGACGAGATCAGGCGTGTTCACGGTGGTGTGGCCATAACGAGGAGCTCAGTCACAAATAGGACTTTTAAAGGATCATCGCAAGCAAAGACTGAACTTATGCGCCAGAAGTTTCAACATGTAAAAACAGAGCACAACTCGCTTTAAGCATTAACCTTTAATTTAACTAATAACCTCTGACTGCAAAGTGTTTGTGATGCAAAACCCTGACAATGTTGTTGGAGGAAAAGGAGGGGTTGCTCCTGCAGGTCAGGGGCGTTTACCTTCGGGACAAATCGAGGTCACTGATTGGTCAGTTGATGACAAGCGTATTGGTTTGACTGACAGGCGGCATTGAGGATCCAACTCATGCCAAAAAATAAATAAATCAGATTTTACTGGCCCGTTTAAAACTGTCATCATTTATTCCACATTTATTTCAAGTTTATTCAATATTTCAGTGAATCTAAGATTTGAGAAATAATGTTCATTACAAACTAATGATGGATTTTTACATTTGTAGGGGTGCTGAGTTAAAATTTAGGAGGCTAAAATCACCACTGCCAAGCGCTGAATACCAGCCCTTATAAATGTTAGTCACTTTTTATAGCGTACCTCCTCTTCTCATAAACCTGCTGGTGCTCAGGTTTCAGTTTACCCAACTCTAAACTACAGTCAAATCCTTAGTAACAGGAAATGAGCTGAAAACAGGAAGTCACGACCTGCTCTGCACTGTTTCTGACTGGGTCAAGCGTACAGAATCAGGTGACGCATGACTCAAGAGGATCAACCATTGGTTAACTGTTAAGCACAAGGAGCCACTTGTAAGCACAGCTGGATCTGATCAGCTGAGGACCACAACATGTACAGACTACTGTGAGCTCGGAGAGCAGGATCGCTCAGTCTGTTGGTAATTGAAGTCTTGGCCAAACACGATGTGGATGCTTCACATGAGAATGGAACAGCACTTGTGTATCTGCGCCCCCGCCTGCTTTCAAGGAAAACAACTCATAAAACAAGGTGAAACTGAGAAACAGTAAAGAAACAGACAAGCTGATATATAGTCCTACCAAGCTACAGTCATGCTAATAAAAAGTAAGATTGAAAGGTGAAGCTGAGGAAAAAAATAGAATCCCAAATCCAGGGAAGCAAAGAAACAATGAATGATGGAAAGAATCAAGCTGAGAGAAAACATGGGCCCAAGAAAAGAGATGTTGAGAAGAAACAGTCCAACCCAGAAAGAGTGTAGGAGAAAAGGTTAAGGCCAAGAAGCAGTGAAACTGACAACTTTATTGTCAAAAACAAGTTAAACCAAGAAACAACCAGGCAGAGGGAAATGTCAGGCCAACAATCCAACGATCAGTGACTTCCCCTCCTAACATAAAAGACTATCCAAGCAGAAGACACCAGCCACAGGTTCTGAGGACGTGCCCGCCAAGAAAAATGTAAAACTGTGTGTGATTTGGTGCATCCTTAGTGTAGTGAATGAATAAATATCAGTCCTTGATCAACTTTGACGAGTGTCTTGTAATCCATGAAAAGGAGAGCAACTGGTCTCCAGCTTCTACAAAGTATTACGTTTATTTTTTGCGGCAGAAGAGAAAGAACTGCTTGTGTCAAGGAGACCAGAATATTTTCTTAATGAAAAGATAAAAATGTCCAGAAGACCTTGTCTTAAAACATCCCAGAAGTGTTGAAAAACTCATACATATATAAACATTAGTGTTTCCCCTACCATTATACAGGCAGGGTGCTCCACCCCATCAACAGAACTGAGCACCCCGCCTACCAAACTGAACTTGACCCTCCCACC